ATAAGAAGTTTTTTAATAGACTTCTTAATAACGACAAAAATTTACAATTTATAGTGCTAATTTATTTTTACTTATATTCCAAGTTACTTCGCTTTTGTTATGTATTATTTGCTGTGGTTCAAAATTAATATTTTTTTCCTTCAACTATTTCGTACTAATATTCATTTGTCTCTCTAATTCTTGGTACTGTGATTAATTTTGTGTTGTAGGAGATTTATCGGGTCCTAAAGACAGTATAGTAAATATGAGATAAAGGTCCATTAGATTAAAAACAGGTTAATATCAGAACTAGTGCTATACTTTGCAAAAATATTACATTATGTAACCTAATTAAACTCATTTTTCTTACTGAATTGTCACAAATTTCTGTTTGTCAACTATATTATGAGTCAATAAAGGGGTGAAACACTCATAGAAAGTTTCAAGTGGTGAGATAACAGGGAATTACGCATTTCAACAGCATATTGTATCCACCGCTGTTGGTCCTTTATGTCTCAGGGATGCAGGAAGAGTATCATTTAATCTTTTCGGGTGTATGTTGATGAATTAGTATCGCTTAACAAAATAAAAAAATCTTTAATCAAGCAAGTATTCCCGATTCAAAAATAGTTTCTACCAAACAAGTATGATCCATAGGTTATCTACATTGTTTTGTCTGAAAAGAGCAAGGAGATAAAACTGGAATCATTGAAAATTGACTTTAGTTTTTTGCTTCATGAAAATGATATGTTTTAACGAACTGTAGTCTTACAATAACATAAATTATAAAATTAATAAATTATGATAGACTAAAAAAGTTTTGTATATTTACACATATACGTTTTATTAATGGAATGCTAGTTAAGTAAGTTTCTACAGCAACTTGTGGATTTCAGTTTTACAGAGTTTTCGTGAAAATGTACAAAATGCGAAAGATAGGCACATTAATTTCACCCAGGTATTATTTTTTTGTTTCTTGAAAAAGACTCGTCGCCTGAGAACTTGTTTGATCTACAGACCAGAGCGCGCTCAGGGCAATCTCAACTCTAGTACGTGAATATTTTCGGTACAATTTTTTTTGACATGCAACTACGTACTCGTAGTTGCATGTCAAAAAAAATACTTATTTTGTTTAACTAAGAATTAATTCTTTATTTGTGTTTCATACTTAGCAAAACGTCTTAAACTAAGAATATTGTTGAAATAGTAATAACCCAATGGATTTCTTTCGGGAAAATGCAGTTGTTTTTATGTTTTGGAAACACTGTGCACTACTTTATATGAATTTTTAAATCTTTTTGGTGACAATTTTTGTGGTTATTTTCGATACACTGTACGAGTTTAACAATGAGAAAAAAAAAATGAAAAATTTAAATAATCAAACATTCAAAAAATTGAGAAATCTAAAAATCGAAAAATCGAAACCTTAAAAAATCGTAAAAATGAAACATTGTAAAATCGAAAAATGAAACATCAGAAAATCGAAAAAATGTAAAATTCAAAAATCTAAAATTTAAAAACCGAATAACGAAAAATCGAGAAATCGAAACTCCCAAATTTAAAAAATCGGATAACTGAAAAATTGAAACATCGAAAAACTGGAAAATCGAAACACCGAGAAATCGAAAAATCAAAACATCAAAAAATCATGGACTCGAAAAGTCGAACAATTGAGGAACCGAAATAGGGCAAAATATCGAAAAATCCAAATCTTGATAAATCGAGAAATCAAGAAATTAAAAAATTCGAAAAATTGAAAAACTGAAATACTGGGAGATTGAAAGATCAAAAGAACGAGAAATCGAAAAGGCATGAAGTCGAAAAATCGAAAAATTGAGAAATCGAAAAACAAAAAGTTAAAAGTTGAAAAATTGTTAAAAACCGGAAAAATCAAAAATAAAATTGGAAAACTGTAAAAACTGAGAAACCGAAATAGGCCAAAATAAAAAATTGAAAAACTGATAAATCGAAAAACTGAACAATGAAATCTCGATAAATCGGAAATGCCAAATTAACAAATCGAAAAATTGAAAAACAGAACAACTAAAAGCGGGAAGTCGAAAAATCGAAAAATTAAGAAATATTGAAAAATGAAAATATCAAATGATTGAAAAGTCTAAAATTTAAATATCCAAAAATTGAAAAATCGAAAATGTAAAAAGGTAGACACATCGAAAAATTCGGAAGTTAAAAATAGAAAAGCCGAAAAATCGAAATATTGAAAAATTCCAAAACTGAAAAATCGAAAAATCAAAAAAGTGAAGTCGAAAAATAGAAACTTTAAAAAATCGAAAAACTGAAAAATCAAAAACCTGAAAAATCAAAAAATTGAAGAATTGAAGAACACGAAAAACGAAACACTAGAAGGTAAAGAAATGAGAAAATCAAAACATCGATTAATTAAAAAATCGAAAAATTGAGAGTTTATAAAAGTCAAATTTTAAAAATCGAAAAATCGAAAATTTGACAAACCGACAAGTGAAAAACAGAAAATCTCAAACCGAAGCCGAAAAATCAAAAGATTAAGAAATCGAAACATTTGAAAAATTCGAAAACTTGGAAATTTGAAATATCGAAGAACTGAAATGAAAAATCGAGAAATCGAAAAATCCAAAATTTTAAAAATTGAAAAGTCTAAAATTTAAAAATCGAAAAATTGAAAAATCGAAAAAATAAAAATACCGAAAAATCCAGGAGTCAAAAATCAAATAAAAACTGAAATATCGAACAAGTGAAAAATGAAAGAAAAACTGAAAAATGGGAAACTAAATGGGGAAATCAAAACATTGAAAACTCGAAAAATTTAAGAAACGAAAAATTAAAAAATCGAAAATTTGAATAAAACGACAACTGAAAACAGAAAATCTGAAACCAGGAAGTCGAAAAATCAAAAGATTAAGCAATCGAAAAATTTAAAAATCGGAAAAGTAAAAAATCGACACACCGAAAAAATCCAGAACTCAAAAGTCTAAAAAAGTTGAAGAATCGAAAAATTGGAAAATCCCAAGACTGAAATATAGAAAAACTGAAAAATGAAAGAAAAACTGAAAAATGGAAAAACTGAAAATCCGAAAACTGAAATATCCAAAAACTGAGAATCTGAAAGGTCGAAAAATGGAGAAATCGAAAAATCTAAACCTTAAAAAATCGAAAAAATAAAAAATCAAAAACCTGCAAAATCGAAAAATGAAAGAATTGAAGAATAGGAAAATCGAAACCCTCGATAGATAAGAAATGGGATAATCAAAACATCGATTAATTGAAAAATCGAAAAATTGAAAGTTTTTAAAAGTCAAATTTGAAAAAAACTATAATTGTAAAACAGAATATATGGTTAAAACCGGGAAGTCGAAAAATCGAAATATTAGGAAATCAAAACATTTGAAAAATTCGAAAACTTGAAAAATTGATATATTGAAAAACTAAAATGAAAAATCGAGAAATCGAAAAATCTAAAACTTAAAAATCGAAAAATTGAAAAAACGACAATTGAAAAACAAAATCTAAAGCCGGTAAGTCGAAAAATCTAAACATTTGAAAAATTGAAATATTGAAGAAGTGAAATGAAAATTCGAGAAATCGAAAGATCTAATATTTGAAATTTCGAACAATTTAAAAATTGGAAAAGAAAAAATCGACACATCGAAAAATCCATAAGTCAAAAATGGAAAGGTTGAAGAATAGAAATCTTGAAAGATCCCAAAACTGAAATATCGAAAAATTGAAAAATCAAAACCCTGCAAAATCGTAAAATCGAAAAATTGAATAATAAGTAAACCGAAAAATCCCAAAACTGAAATGTCCATAACCTGAGAAATAAAAAAATTGAAAAATTGAGAAATCGAAAAATCAAAAAAGTAAATTTGAAAAATCGAAACCTGAAAAAATAGAAAAATTGAAAAACTAAAAAACCTGAAAAATCAAGTAATTGAAAAATCGACAGATTAAGAGTTTATAAAAGTCAAAAATTGAAAAATCGAAATAGTTAAAAATCGTAAAATTGAAAAGGAGAAAAATTGAAAACCGAGAAATTGAAAAATTGAGAAATCGTAAAATCCAAAAATTCAGAACGTGATAACGATAACTTTTTTAATTGTTTTTTAACTGAAGGCCGTCAATGAGGATGACATTTGAACTCACTCATTCGAACTCCGCGGAAATATATAAGTTCCTTATTTTGTGGTTTTTGTATTTTTATTTTTCAAAATAAATAATAGGCATAATAGGATTTGTGTAGTTTTTTTGTGCTAACAAAACTAAGTTATTTTTTTCTTATTAAACTGTGTTAATGTTCCTTGCGTTTTTACTATTAATCCCAACATTGTGTTTTCATTAAATTATTTCTTGTGCAAACATTCAACTTTTCCTATTAAGGAAACATCACCCTGCCTCACATCTCCGCAAAACCCAACCCTTTTTCAATTTTTCATCAGTTGTTTTCTAAATTATGCAGCAAAACTTCTGACAGGCTAAATTCCCATACATAATTAAGAATGAAAGTACGGATTGCTGCAGTGTTGTAATTTTACATAATTAACAGAAAAAGTTTCTACAATTCTTCACCCATTTAATTATAGAAATACACTTTTATCAGACAACATGTAAGAAAACTTGTCCGTTGTGAGACTATTTCAGGAAGTAGCAATTTATTCATTTTCGTCGCCTACATACACAAAGATCGGTTAATTGAACCTTTTAAAATGCACGATAAGTCATTTGCATCACAATGTGGATGACTATGACGTGATATTGTCGCTAGATTTAAGACAGTAATTGTGTCGTGAACGATGAGGTTATGAAGAAATTAAATTGCCTAAAGATAATTGTGAGGATATAAAAGAGTTGATTGATAAAACGAAAACGAAATTAATTTATTTTATTTGTTTATACATTGATCTAAATTTTACCTATCGTATCTGCTCTGAATGAAAACTTATTCAAATCATTTAAATTTATAAAATAAGCTCATTTAAATTCTACTCAATTAAACTATTATATCTTATTGACATAATGGGCTTTAATATGATGTAATATTATATTATTTCAGTTGTTTAGCTCGACGTCAGAATTAGTTTCAATCCATTCCAGAAAGCTGGTGATTCTTGTGAATCCGGATGGATAACTCGGCATACAAAAAATGACACCAAAAGAAACGACACCAATCTGAACATCATCAAAAACAAGAGGACCTCCAGAATCTCCACTACACGATCCAGTTTCATTTTCACCTGAAGTGCAAACTATGGACGGGATAACGTCTTCAAAAAATTCTATACACGCTTCGTTGCTCATAACTTCCATATCCAAGTAATTCAAAACTTCTGATAGTTTAGTTTCGTACATACTAGTCAGCCCCCAACCACTCACGCGTGCGGTATCTCCTGCGTAAGTATTCTCGGAATCATGGTAAGATGGTAAAATTGCAGGCTGAATAGCCGAAGTGAAAGTTACAGGTTCTGGAAGCTTAATAAGACCAATATCGTTGATGAGCTTGTCACCATCGTAGTCTTCGTGGATTTTGACTTCAGTACTAATTAGAGTGATCTGAGTATCTTCGTCTTCGAGGGGCTTGTGAGCACCAAGAGTGACGTAAATTTCAGTGGCACTAATGAAATTGGAAAATAATATGAATATGGACAACAAAATTTATTTACTCACTCAACACCGCAGTGCCCTGCTGTGAGGACATAGTTTTGTGAAATTAAAGAACCACCACAGTACCAGAATTGAGTTTCAGAATGGGCTTCAAGCAAAACTTGATAAGGAATCGAATGAGGTTCTGCTTCCTGGCCACCAATAATTCTAGGATTTATCTTTACCTTCGTTTTGGGTGTTTTGTATAAATTACGAAAACCAAAGTTTGTTGGCTAAAATTGTAATAATGAAATTTTCGGAGATATTTTTTCTTCTACACTACAAACCTTTGAAAATGTGCAGGACACTGTTAAAATGAATAGGAAGGCTACAAACGATTTCATGTTTGTAATCGCAGTACTGTCAGTTTTTTGTTTTTTTTAAACATAAATGAACATTTATCTTTCTCGAGGACCAATTGAGATTAGTACTATATCGATTTAAAATTAAAAATTGCTAGTCATTGAAACAAAAAAAAAATGTTATTGCTCTTACTCGTAACGTTAGGATTTTTTTCATTGACATTAAGAAAAATAATGATAATATTTGAGACTTTGTTTTAATGAAAATCTGGGAAAAAGAAATGACGATTTATTTATCATCACTAACAAGAAGATAATTAATCCTCACATTCTTTATTAGTGACGATTGTCACGTCAACATAATTTAATACTTCACGAATTTTATCACAGAGACTGTAACTAATAAAGTTTTCAGAAAAAAGTTAGACACGAGCCGTTAAAACATGCTGTGATCTCTCAAAAGTTAGTTCCACTTCCTGTCCTCTGCAATTAAAATAAAGAAGTGGCAAGAGAAAAATTACGTACTTAATATAATGCGTTGGACAACACATCACACAGATTTATTCAAATTAGGTACTTATGTTTAACAGTTAAATACTTGTGTAAGTGCAAAAGAGAAATTGTAATTTTATAGAGCTCTTATATTTCAAATTATGCGGTAAAACATTTTCTTTTATGTGCATCGTGTGGGTCAACTCAATTGATCGAACAAATCATCTGAAAAGAAAAAGATAACATAAAAAAATCTGCCCTCATATCATACATGTTAGTACGCTATGAAAGTCCAAGTATGTACTATATACCTACAGTAGAAAAATATTCTTGGGATCTTTTCGTCTCTTAATATAAAAATGTAATTACTGTTTGAATCAAAGTCACAGATAGGCAACACATAATACAGGAGGTAATACACCCGCTGCGACCAATATCATTTATATTCTGAAATACAGGGTGATTGTCTTATCTGCTCACGCCTGAGTACTTACGTGTAGGCATTACATTTTACACATCATAAGCAACTTTGATTATTCTATTAATCTTTTTAAATTAGCAATCATAGTTAGTAAATACCGGTAATGCTGAATACAACACAAAAATCACACTATATCATAAATGACAAAAAAGACAACAAGCAACTAATAAAGGCAAAATTTAAACAAAATACAACGTAATTTATTCAATCCCTAAACGAATATAAAAAAAAATAGGTTAGTAATAAGTATCCTATACCAAGTGCTCAAACTACCAGCCTTATCTTTCTTCACACAGCGGTATCCTGCGTTCAAAATTTCTACAAAATCTCGAGTTTTCTAAATGCTTGGTTACACTTTCCCAAAGTTAAAAGCATATCGTTTTCTTTTCGGTATTCGAAAACATTGAATTCACGACGATATTTACTTCACTGATAATTTTCAAAGAGAATCAATGCTTAAAAGATTGAATCGCGAAAACGGCCAATTATTATTAACTATGATTTTTAAATTTCCAAATGAGAATCCAGTCAATTTAAATAACATGTCAGTTAGGAAAAACCATTCATCCCTTTAGAACTTTCACATTTTAAAATATTACCTATTTCACTTGATATTCTCAATGTATTTCTAAAATTTCACAGCAATCGGTACGTTAGTTTCTTAGGTCATTCTTCTAATAAAAATCGATTCAGACGACACAGACATATACTGAAATGGCAGACCTATTTTTTCCTATTCTAGGGGTCATGTAAACCTCGAATTAACATGAAAGTAGCCATTCGTCGGATGGACCCAAGTACAAAATTTCCTTACCTTAAAAATGCATTAGTTAATGATTATAATCATATTGATTTACGTAAAATTGCGACCCGTGGTATCATTTAAAGCTTGACATATAATATCAGTTCGATATACCTAATTACCTACTACTTATTTTATTTTATTTTAGGTTGCACAGTACATTACTATTGCACTACCAAAATTACAATGTGATGGCTTAATATTATTGTTATTAGTAAGGAAAAATCGAGGAGGGTGGAATAAGAACGGAGGGAGCATGTCGCATGCTTTCAATGGTACGGTTTTGGCCCAAAATCAACTACCGTAAACACTGTTTACGATCGGTCTGTCGACTGTGCGCATGTGCGAGCTGGCTACAAACCTCCAGAAAAGCCCATCGTATTCCATGGGCGTACATCTCAGTTATTTTGTTCCATCACGTGCTGTGTATCTTTATACTTTAAGTCGTTTTGTTTTTAATAAATTCAACATGGTGAATTGCAAACTTTGTAAGTCGTGGAATGGAAGTAAACAATCTGTGAAAGACAGACTTAGTTTTCATAAGTAAGTAATAAATGTATAACTTGAGTAACTTTGCCCGCCACTGTTTAGCAATTCTCTCGGAACTGGGGGCGTGGTTTAGCCGAGCGCATATTCCAAACACCGTCATAAACGGTGTCTAGACTTCGGACGGTCGGTGCCACATTTTTCGACCGTACTATCCCTCCGTTCTTATTCTACCTTCCTCGGGAAAAATACTCTTTTCACTAGCAGCCATAAAGCATGAAATGTCGACTCATTTAGAGGTAGCAAATTCAACTTTTGCGACCACGGGTTCAAAAAGAAAGATTGAGGTTATGTACGCAATGCTTGATGTGATTATTTCTTAAAAAATGAATAAATGTGTCAATGTGTGCTACTAACATTACTTGAGTATACGCATGGTAGTTGGTAGACGGTAGAAGATAAAATGATTAATTCAGCGACAAGTATAAACGGTTTTCTTGTGTTGAAGATTTAGATTAAGTTTGATTAGAAACCAAAACAAAATCATGCTGCTTCAAAAAATTGAACGTTTATTTTTTCAGTTTATTGTCTTATGGTTTCTACTAGTGAAAAAAGTAGTACATATATTAGCCAAGGTTGCAAAGGCAAGCATTCTAGACCGAGCGCAAATTAGAACCCTAGACGCGCAGAGTCGTACTATTTTATAAAGAGCTGTAAGCCAATGCTTAACTGCTCAAATAGTTTGCTAAGATTTGATGACATGGGATAGGTTAGTTAAAATTATGGTGTTATTTTAAATATGTATTTACTGATGTAAATGCTTGTTGTATTGTGGAGTTTGTAGAAGATTTCATTGTCTACTTTTTTTAAAATTAAGTTTTGTTACGATATCGGTGAAATTTTACAAAGGGCACTTCACGATTTCGCACAAACTGTTTGCGCAAAACTTTTTTACATCACCCCCTGATCACGTTCCTTACCTTCAAAAGTTGTGTCAGAAAAAAATATTTAGTGTTCGCCCTATGGTTTGCATCACAGGTTTGCACCCTATTAGTTACGCCATATATAGGCAACCAACTATACACACAGTTGAAATAGCAGGAATTCCAATAACTAAATGATCCCCGGAGCAAAAAGTTCTACGTTTAGGGGTATGTTTGTAATTTTTTTGTGGCAAAAGTAAGCATTTCCATAACATTTGAAGGTGAGGAACGTGATCAGAAGAGTTGTGTGCAAACAGTTTGTGCGAAATCAAGAAGTGCCCTGTAATAACCCAAACCTCCCGCCTTTTATTTGACATTGAACAAAATTTGAAAAAGCCCGCTAAAATTTGAAATTTGGCCTTGGCTGTGATCGTCTACAAAAGTGGGACCCTACATTGTGTTTTGAAAACTGGCGGGAGGCGTTCGTTCATACAAATTGGCGCACTGCGGAGCGGGAAGAGTGACGGATTTAAAAAACTTATATTTGGAAAAAAAAACTATGAAAAATAAATCCAATAAGAGCTCAAGAGACCTTGGCCAAGGGCCCCAGAAGAGCTTAAAGAATTTATTCCTCAAAGAAAAAAAAACCTTTATTTTCACTCGAACCTGAGAACATAGAATAAATATTAGCAACCTTACAAGTACAACAAAAACAAAAACACAAAATAAAAAGTCGCGGAATTCTCAGAAAGTAAATGGATGGCAACGTCCCAGATATTACGGTAGTGTGGCCTCTACAAACAAAATGGGGGCGCGCAGCGAGCGCAGGGCGAAGGCCACACACCCCGTGAAGGTCCACATAGTCCTACCTCACCACTTCACGCGCGTGGTCTTACGCACCCACCTGACATAGGTTGACCTTCCTGTTTCCCGCGTACAAGGTAATTCGGTAAAACTCCGAGTCCGCTAGGGCCGGAAGTCTAGCAAGACCCGCAGACACTCGCACGGAGAAGCCGACGCCACCGCGTCCACGCCACACGACCCCCGAGTTAACTAGCGTATCAAAATGAGTATTTGGATTTCAGACAAGCAATAAGCAAAATTTAATTGGCCACACTCCATCAACACTTGTTTTAAATAACAAAGAAATTTAAATGAGATTAAATTAAGCACGTGTGATCAACAATCTTATACAATAAAGAAAATAAAGTGAGAAATTATTCATGTTTTATCAATAACTTTAAAGAATAAGAATTTTGAAAGAGATTAAATTATTCACATTTTGGCAATGATTTTATTGAAATTAAGCTACATTTACGTCGCTGATTCTTACCAAAGAAAATAAAGAAGCTATGGATTTTATTGAAATATTTATCTGACATTAAGCAAAGAAGTTACGAGTGCATTAAAATGGTCTGGGCAAAGTTACGTTGTTGACCGAATTAAACACGTCATTGACCGAATTAAACAAAACAACCCCCCCCCCCCTCCAAACACATCCCCAAACAAAAGACACATAAATAAAAACACATACGAGATAAACAAAACAACACATAAAAAAAATACCGCACATAAAATATGCAAAATAAATAAAATATAGGTAATCGTCGGTGCACATTCGCTTTGAATTGTGCCTTTCTTTCAATAACATTAATTTTCAAATTCATCGACAAAACTTTCGGTCAACAACAAATCCCCGATGACTAATACAAAAGCTCACAAAGGACGCCCTTGCAATTCCCCGGTCAACACCCCGTACCTCCACCCTAACACTTTCTCTTTCTATTTTTAACGGTTGAATATTTGAAAACTTACATGAAATTTTCCAGAATTAGAGTTTATAATAAACGAATAATAAATCGAGGAAAAGCCATTCAATTACCTTGGATATTATAACGTCGGTCAAATTAATGTGCCTAATTAATCGATGTTACTAACACAAAGAAATCCCCCCGTCCCCCAGACTCTAATATTATTAATTTTCTCATGCCGTTCTCAGCGTTAATTTTGTTAAAAATTCACTTGTTCAGATTATGTTTGAATTTACATTACTCACACGTGCAGAAATTATGCAACGCAAAATAATACCTCGAAAATTGCCATCCAACTTTCCGCATAACATTCGCTAAATAAATCTGCCCTAGCTAACGTAATTCCCTGAAAAGCCCTACTAAAACGGATTGAAATTATGTTGAAAAGGTTAGTACGAAAATTAACGGCCATGGCGTCATCCGGAAGCCGCCATTTTTGTCGCGTCACATATGTGTGTGGTTCCCGCGTCTCACATACTCCGTAACCATCGAGAAGCAACGCCGCTTCTTCCACCAGCACACACGGAATCACGTGGAAACATACCTCTCGGATCTTCAAACCAAATACGTGCTCACCACCGAAATAACCTCTCTGTGTTCGAACGTAGCAGAGAATTCTGACGTTCGCTGGTTCGTCAGGGGGGTGGAACTCCGTTAGAAGAAATCAGCACTGACGTCTTACTCGAAAGAAAGACCAAGTCGAACTGACCCAGTGTTGCCAACCTTCGTAATGGCGAATTCCCTACATGGACGATAAAAATTCCCTTTTCAGCCTCAAAATTCTCTTTTGCATATAGGTACCTACCTATTACTACCATTACAAATTGATAAAATTTCTCTCGGATCAAGAAAACACTTAATCTACTAATTTCCTCCCCAAAAACAACGCTCCTTTCTTTTTAACTTCTTTTAATAATAATAATATAGTAAACAAACACTGTAATTTCAAAATTGACAAGACAAAGTAACAAAAATATAGTTCTATAATTACAGTACAAATAAAGGACAAAAATCCAGCCTCTTTATCAGTGTTTAAATTAATACATTGCAACATTATGTAACTGGATGGCCTTGTGTTATTGGATACTTAACAACATCCAGTTCTGTTGCCTGCAAAAAGCTCCTAAAAACAGCAACAGCGTTTAAAGAACTCTCCCCAATCCTGTTTCTTTTTTTGGTCTTGCCAATGACAAGTTGACCTACGTTTTACATTTAGTACATTTTGTCTACTCTTGACCTCAACACACAACCAAGACCTACCAAACTATGTTGCTCTTTTCTAAGCTGAAAAAATAATGATTTATCAATTTTCACATTTTCTTTGCTGCGTTGTCAGCGTACTTAAGAATGCTTCTAAAAATTCCCCAAAATTGCCGACTTTTGTCAAAAAATTCCCTTTTTCCCTTTCTTATCCTAAAATTCCCTTAAAAGGGAAAATTCCCTGCAGTTGGCAACACTGAACTGACCGCGACTCACCCCGCTCAAACACACCCTTCTGCGCATCTCTCTCTTAGTGGTTTTCGTTTCTTTCCATTTCCATCCCTTTTCTTACCAAAAGTTTGGCGCGCGGAAATTTGGCTCGAAACGGCTTACTACAGCCCTTTGTAAAATTTTACCAAGACATTTACTCATCTATTCATAAAGCTTTTAAAAACGTAAATTATTTTTACTCTGAAGGGTACCTCAGTTTTGCACGTTCCGGCAATATGTGTTACAATTTTGTCAATGGGATTTAAAGCAAACATCAGCACCGGCTTTCTTGACCGGAATCGTTATCTACTCCAAACTCCACCACAAAATGTCAACAAAAGTGGTCAACGTACACACTTCCTGAACAAAAATGCAGTCAGTGCCGCGCAAATTTCAAGTGGAAAGTTAGGTTAGGGGTTATTTTGTGGTCAATAATTTTTGTTGTGATGCCCTTAAGGGTTTATGTGATAACGATAACTAAACAAAGTGCACAGAACTGAAGAAGCAAATTAGCTTGTTGATCCAGCAGAGTGCAGTTTTTATTCTTTTGTCTACAGTCAGACTCGTCACTAATAGTTCAACAGCTCTGAATAGTTAAAGGACGATTAAATGTAAGTACTAAAGGATTTTTCCTGTTACTAAAATTGTTTCTGTAGAAGTTAAAGGAATCTTTTTCTTGCAAGACCAACCAGCGTTACACCACTTCCATTGGTTTATAGATTAAAGAAAAAATCCATATAATGTCACATCAGCATCTTTTTCTGCCTGTAAACGTTCAGGACAATTTGTTATCTTTCTTGCACATCATGTTGTGTTACAGTTACTGATAAGTCAGTTCTTATACCATTTGTTTATTTTTTCAGCACCAAATGATGCTTTGTTCCATTTCAATAAACATTTAATAATAAGGTGCAAATTACACTTCCACCTATGAAATTCCTATTTTACAAACCATTCCTGCATTGATATTTAAATAATGTCACATTTTTCTGAATGTTACATCTCTACATCGCTTTAGAAAAAAATGAACATGGCTACCACAATGATTCTTTTATTCTTGGTACATCTACATTACGAACAAGTACAATTGTGATCCATATAACTTATAATATCAGAATCGCTAGGATAATTCACAATAATTTTCTACTCTGACACAGAATTTAGTAAAGTTATTTACTAAAATTAAACTTTTGTAATCCTATTTACAACATTTATCACTTATGTACTAATAGGAACTTTGGTTTCTTTCGGAGCTGCCTCCTACAAAATCATATTTTACGCAAACGACTTGAGATCAATTTACTCTAACATATCGTGGAATCCAAGACAAAGTCAAAAATGAAATGTTTAATTGAATTTCGATCACATTTATTTTTAACAGCATAAAAATTTTGGTCGTTTACCTGAAAATTTACATTTTTTTTTGTATAAGTACAAACACGATATGTTTCGCAAAACCTTAAAAGTATCGTATACCTAATACCACTACTCAAAGGGATGTTGAAAGAAAAGCAGTCACTTTGAATCAATTTATTACAATCAGGATAATTTAAAATAATAATTTAAGTGCGCGCTCTGTTTCGGTGCAATTCGGCCAACTGCAATAAATAATAAAAAAGGAGTGTTGTGGCATCTTTGAATCGTCAAATCTTACATCGTACCAATCACACAATAACAACAATCCTTGAAATTTTTATACACGATTATTTACAAAAATTGATTGTATACGAGTATTTACACTTGAACTGTTTATAGTCAAATCACAGACGTTTTACACCATTCCTTTCGACATCATTCGAACGGTGTTTTTCAAAGCCTGTCTCTTGTTGCAGAACCATATCCTTATCACTTCTCTTTCGTATCCCAGCTGATGGGCTAAACCGGTTATCTCCGTGCCTGTAAAACAAAAATATGTACAATATGACTTTTCGCAGAAAAAACTTACCTGAAGGATGTGTGTTTCGCTCAAAATGTGCATTCAAAAGTTCTAGAGCTTGAGGGGTGAAGGACGTTCTTCTTTTCCTTTTCTTAGACGGCTCTATGCCGATGAAGTCGGTTAAGTGATTTTGGCCGCTCTTGTATCTAGAATTAAGCACACTTTGGTAAGTTAGTATCTGCTTAGCGGTTCGAAAATAATACACAGTCAAAATTGTAATTGAATTTGTTTTGCTAGGTGTACGGATTATTTATGCAATTCTTTTGAAAATTTTTATAATTGAGATTATCACGCTAAACCAGAAAATTGTACCTAAAATTGACCTTGGGGTACACCAGAGGTTATTATTAAATCTGACTGACTGCAAGAAATTGTTTATTAAATTGTTATGTATCAATGACCACAGTTTAGTAAACACCGAGTGACTAGGAACGAGCTGCTTCAACAACAACTAGAATCTCTGAATAGGTACACTTGGTACTAAAACAAGCGTCTTGCAGCCGGTTTAACAACATAGAACAAATTTAGTGTAGTAAATTTAGTAATATTTGATAAAATAGGTACCAACCTTTCTTCTGCCTCCTTCATCCACCTCTCCAGTACAGGCTTAATTTTCTGCGCACTCTTTGGTGTGATATCTAATTTCTCAAACCTACAACACAACTCAATTAGACCCCTCACCATCAACACCAAGCACTTTGTTATAGCTTTAGGCACAGGACACTGACATACTATAATGAGAGAAACCGAAAAAAGTGAAAAAACTCAAACAGTCTGCTGATGCCAGTGCCCTGGCGCAAATCTCACAAACACAAAAAGACAACTTATCCTTAACACTACTCAACCATGATGGTAAACGTACATCGCTTGCTGCTGTGACGAAAGTTGCGCGGCTGCAAACATCTGAGACGCCAGGGCACTGGGAACAAACCAAGGAATTACTTACGTCATACACTGTTACAAAACAAACGCAACGCATTCACAGAATGGCAGGTTTGCGAGCGATGCGTCTGGTTTGTAACAAGAGTCGGTATGCACATGTCCTGGCTTTCTACGAGGAGTCACATTAGGCCTACCTGCAGATTGCGCTTTGACTATAAGCTGGACCCTCGGTGACGCTTAGGGCTTGGCCCACTTGGGTTTGGGTAAGTCCCAGCGACAAGCGGCGAAGTTTGAACGCTTTGGCGAAGTCTTTTATTTCGTCGAGGTTTATGCCGTCTACCACGTTACTACTCGTTTGGTTTATGGTAGGTTGATCTAGAAAGACAACGCAGTTAAGAGGAAAGGAGGTCATGTAGTGTATACTTGGTAAGTGGTAACCGATAACAGAAAAAATTTACGAGTATGTAAAATTTAATGGTTTTACAACTACGAGTATTGATATGACGTAACGATCACACGTTGAGCGTATTATAGGTATAAGTAAGTATGTTATTTTTGAGTTTAAAAATTGTCGGTTTCATCAAAATTTACGAAGGAGAATCAGTTTATTACTACAGATAAGTTTAGATATTACGTTTCATGTGGTAACAGCATCAGGATTTTCAGTGTAAAATTGTAAAACACATTTTCCTTTAACTGAATGATGAAAAGAGACCACTTTTAAAATATAATTTTTGTTTCGCAACTTACACTAGCATACTACTTATTAATAAATTTGTGTTTTAATTTTACAAACGTTGACAGAGTGTTAAAAATCGTTCATATTTTTTCTTGTGTAATTACTGCTCTGTAAAACTTTTATTTTACATCTGGAATCGGCGTTTTAATTATAACTTTAAATATTATAATTTTATCAGACGCTCCTGCAAAAGGCTTTCATGTTTGTCTTCTGAAGGAAGCTAAGAAAACAACTTTATATTTTTTCAATGTTCGTTAAAACATTTGTAAATATGTTTATATATTTTTTTGAATTGTCGTTTATTTAAACAGAATTTTGTCTGTTTAGTTTATTTAAGTACGATTTTTTTGCTCGAACTTTCTAGAAGGAAATAAGAAATGTCAATATTTACTGCTTCAGCAAAATTTCAAAGCAGTTCATTAAGCCGTTTTCGAAATAAGCTGTAACTTTTTCGCTGCACATTTCAAATAAGATTTACTTTAATTTAATATCAGAGAACATAGAGAAGCGTCATAGTTTAAATTAAATGACGGTTGAGGACTCCTCGACTTATGTTGGCAACAGTGTTTTTTTCTAACTAGGAATAAAATTAACTACAATAGAAAAAATGTCAATATTTTTAACGACGCGTTTTACTTTCGACAAATTGACATTAGATTTACCAGAATATTACAGTTCGTCGTCTGAGAACTTGTTTGATCGACAGACCAGAGCGCACTCAGGCCAATCTCGACTCTAAGCGTTCAGAAACGATTTGATTTATAAGCCATGATCCATGATCTGATACACATCCTAACCGGTTTCGACCATAATTTCTTGCTGTTTCAACTTTTGCATTCTCAGTTTTTCGAAATTTTAGTTTGGGGACTTTTCAGTTTACTCGTATTTATTATTCAATTTTTGGATTTTACAATTTCTCAATTTTTCAATTTCTCGGTTTTCTCTTCAATTTTACGATTTTTAAATATTTCGATTTTTCAATTTTTGACTTTCATAAACTCTTTATTTGTCGGTTTTTCAATTCATTGATTTTTCAGGTTTTTTGGTTATTCAATTTTTCTATTTTTTCAGGTTTCGATTTTTCAACTTCACTTTTTTGATTTTTCGATTTCTCGAATTTTCAATTTTTTAATTTCTCAGTTTTTGGACATTTCAGTTTACTTATTATTCAATTTTTCGATCTTACGATTTTGCAAGTTTTTGATTTTTCAATGATTCGATTTTTTTAAGGTTTCTATATTTCGACTTCACTTTTTTGATTTTTCAATTTCTCCATTTTTCGATTCGTTAGATTCTCAGTTTTTGGATATTTTAGTTTTGGGATTTTTCAGTTCTTCGATATTTTAGTTTTGGGATTTTTCAATATTTCTGTTCTTCGACTTTTCCACTTTTGACTTTTGGATTTTTCGATGTATCGACTTTTGACTTTCATAAACTCTCAATTTTTCGATTTTTCAATTAATCGATGTTTTGATTTTCTCATTTCTTGACCTTCGAGTTTTTCGATTTTCCTGTTCTTCAATTCTTTAATTTTTTGATTTTTCAGGTTTTTGATATTTCAATTTTTCGATTTTTTAAAGTTTCTATTTCTCGACTACACTTTTTTGATTTTTAGATTTTTCAGTTTTTAGATATTTCAGTTTTAGTATTTTTCAATATTTCAATTCTTCGGCTTTTTAATTTTTGACTTCTGGATTTTTCGATGTGTCTACCTTTTTACTTTTTCGATTTTTCAATTTTTGGATTTAGATTTTAGATTTTGAAATCTTTTGATATTTTAATTTTTCAATATTTCTTAATCTTTCGATTTTTCTATTTGTTAATTTTTCATTCCCGATTTATCGAGATTTGATTGTCCAGGTTTTCGATTTATCAGTTTTTCAATTTTTTATTTTGGCCTATTTCGGTTTCTCAGTTTTTCCATTTCCCATTTTTTCGTGTTTTGATTTTTCCGCTTTTCCAATTTTTCAACTTTTAACTTTTTGTTTGTCGATTTCTCTATTTTTCGACTTCATCACTTTTCGATTTCTCGTTCTTTTGATCTTTCAATCTCTCAATTTTTCAATTTTTCGAATTTTTAAGTTTTTTGATTTCTCGATTTATCGAGATTTGGATCTTCGATATTTTGATTGTCAATTTCTCAATTTATAAATTTGTTCAATTTTTAACTTTTCGATTTTGGCCTATTTCGGTTTCTCAATTGTTCGACTTTTCGACTCCACGATTTCTTGATCTTTTGATTTTTCGATTTCTCGGTTTTTCGATTTTCCAGTTTTTCGATGTTTCGATTTTTCAGTTATCCGATTTTTTAAATTTGGAAGTTTCGATTTCTCGATTTTTCTTTATACGGTTTTTAAATATTAGATTTTTGAATTTTACATTTTTTCGCTTTTCCAATTTTTCAACTTTTAACTTTTTGTTTGTCGATTTCTCTATTTTTCGACTTCATCACTTTTCGATTTCTCGTTCTTTTGATTTCTCGATTTATCCAGATTTGGATTTTCCATATTTTGATTATCAATTTTTCAATTTATAAATTGTCCAATTTTTAACTTTTCGATTTTGGCCTATTTCGGTTTCTCAATTGTTCGACTTTTCGACTCCACGATTTCTTGATCTTTTGATTTTTCGATTCCTCGGTTTTTCGATTTCTCGATTTTTCGTTATACGGTTTTTAAATATTAGATTTTTGAATTTTACATTTTTTCGTTTTTCTGATTTTCAGTTCTTCGATATTTCGATTTTTCAATGTTTCGGTTTTACGATTTTTTAAGGTTTCGATTTTTCGGCTATTAGATTTCTTGATTTTTCGAATTTTCCATTATTTTAATTTTTTTTCCCACTGTTAATTTCATACAGTGTATCGAAAACAAACACAAAAATTGTCACTAAAAAGATTTAAAAATTCATACAAAATAGAACACCGTGTTTCCAAAACATTTTCCCGAAAAAAATCCATTGGGTTATTACGATTTCAACAATATTCTTAGTTTAAGACGTTTTGCTAGTATAAAACACAAATAAAGAATTAATTCTTAGTTAAACAAAATATATAAAATCATCTAAATATGTACCAAAAATATTCACTTAGTCGTAATAAAAACCGACCAAACAACTAATTCCCCCAGAAATTATAATCCAAACCAACTAAATCGTTTCTGAACGCTTAGAGTCGACATTGGCCTGAGCGCGCTCTGGTCTGTAGATCAAACAAGTTCTCAGGCGACGAGTTGTAGTGAAACAAGTTTTTTTATTATGATCGACTATTTAAATTTGGCGCTTGTCTTTGGCGATTGAGGACTCCAATGTCAATAACGGTGGTTTTGCAAAATCAGCCTGTATGTCGCATCTATATTAATCTATGCTAATATTTTGAGATGGGGTTGTTTATTGTTTGAAAGGAATGAATACACAAAAAAAAATTTACAAGTAAATCGATACTCATGTATGTAAACGGGAAACTTGCATTTTTGTGTTATGTGATTTCTGAAATAAAGAAGCAATCTTCAAATGCTTTCCACAATGGTTGAAGTAAAACTATTTAATTCGCCAAAAACTGCTTTTTTGACATTTATATTATGTATAAGGCAGTGCACAAAATGTAAAAAATGAATTTAAGAAGGGACAATGATAACTACTGTCAAAAATAGCCTCACCGGTCAAATTTGAAATTGAATTTTCCACTAATTAGCTAACTGTTTTCATTGTTATGCTATCGATAGACGTGATCATAATTATTATTTTTAATAAAACCACATCAGTTTCTGTTCTAAATACCAAGTCGAAGTCATTACAAGATCGAAACTCACAAAAAAGTCTCCTTTTTGAAATCTTAGGTCGTTCTTAGAGAGTCAAACATAGACCTGATCCGTCTATTGGTTGAAAAAAAGTGTGATTGTGGTTCTGCTCATGCAACAGAAACGTTAAATAATTCCATCGATAGTACCAGCAGTGATATCACCGTTATCTCCAATATTGAGAACGAAGTCACTAAAGAAATCCGAGAAAAAACTGCCGATAAGCTGCCTACTACCCGCAAGAAACGAAATAACAAAACAATAAATACAAATTCTGGTCAGAAACACCACACTTCGACAGACAAGAAATTTTTCCTAGGGCAAGGCGTGGATGATGTAATCGAGAAATCCGAATTTAAAGCTGCGAAACGTCGGTTGTGGCTGCATGTTAGCAGAGTTGCACCAGGCATAAAGGTAGACAAGATCAACGACTACTTGCAACGTAAATGTCGTGGTCATCAGTTTGTTGTAGAACAAATTACTGGAGACGCTGAACATAATGGTTCTTTCAAGATTGGTGCAGATTATGATCTTCAAGATGTGTTATATTCTGATAAATTCTGGCCGGCAGGTGTTGCTGTTCGACGATTCAATTTTTTTCGACGACCCAGTAACAGGAAACAATTCGAATAAGTGGCTCTGCATATGGGCATTAAATATACAAGGTGTATCTCAAGCGAAATTTGACGTGATTCTTGAAGAATTGTTAGAAGATAAAGTTGACGTCCTTTGTTGCTCTGAAACATGGTGTACTATTGAATCTGCTGCCAGCTACGATCTTCAAGGCTACCGGTTAGTAAGCTCTTTCTGTAGATCAAGTACGACTAGAGGAGGTGTCGGAGTCTGGGTGAGCGATCGTGTGTTCTCTGACTCTCAATGCATCGACCTATCATCGATCTGTTGTGAAAAGTTATTTGAAATTTGTGGTGTTAAACTTTGCAATTACATTATTTTAACTTGTTATAGAAGTCCTGGTCCGGGTTTTAGTGATTATTTAAACAAACTAGAATCCGTCCTAAACCAGTATTGGTCTTTGAAGAACAAATTTGTTATAGTAGGTGACTTCAATATTGATCTACTGATCAATAGTAAAGAAAAAAAAGATCTTTTATCAACTATGTCATGCTTTAACTTAGTACAAATGACTGATAAGCCGACTAGAGTAACTAGTCACAGCAAAACTCTTATTGATCATATTTATGCGCATCCAAATATTGTTAATGATGTTTGGGTCAAGTTAAACACAGTTTCCGACCACGAAACTACAGTTCTTCGTGTTACTGCTGATTTACATAAAAACCCTGTAAACTGTTTTTCTTATGTTAGGCGTTTTCCTAATACTTCAATTGTCACTTTTGCTAAAATGTTAGAATCTGAATCATGGGAATTTATGTATAAATTAACAGATATTAACAAACAGTTTGAATTTTTTCTTAATGTGTTTATGCATCATTTCAACACATTGTTCCCAATTAAGAAAGTTTGGAGAGCTGATTGTCTTAATAAGTCATGGATCACAAAAGAAGTTCGTATGTCGAGTGATAGATTAAAATTACTTTTTGAATTGTGTAGACAAAATCCCGAATTGAAGCCTTTATACAACACGGAAAAACGCAAGCACCATTATCTCATTAATGTCACTAAAAAAACATATTACAATAACCTAATTAATAATAGTATGGATTCATCAAAAATGGTTTGGAAAGTTATTGGGCAAATAACAAAAACAACTAAAACTAAATATAAACCTATTGAAATTTTTAGCAATAACGAGCTTTTGAAGAACCCATCTCAGATAGCAAATAGTTTTAATGATTTTTTTATTGATTCAGTCACAGCTTCCGTAAATAATATTCATAAACCTAAAAATTTTAACCCAACAATTAGAAATATATGCTCCAGTATGGCGTTTATACCAATAACTGAGGAGGAGTTGCTTATCATTATTAATAAAAAGTTAAAAAATAAAACTAGCTGTGGTCCTGATGATGTACCACTATCTGTTTTTAAAAGTGTTGCAGCGTCGATTGTCGCACCGCTCACTTTCTTGATCAATAAATCCGTTGAACTAGGGGTATTCCCTGACTTACTAAAAACCTCGAAAGTAATACCCGTCTATAAAAAAGGAGCACAAAAAGATATACACAATTACAGACCTATTGCTTTGACGTCTGTTTTCTCAAAAATTTTGGAATATTGCATATTAGATAGATTAAATAAATATCTCAATACCTTCGACATATTAAGTACTTCTCAACATGGCTTCCGAGTAAACTTTTCAACAAACACTGCGTTAAATGCATACTACAACAAAATAGTTTCCTATCTTAATAATGGCAAATGCTCTACTGGGATATTTTGTGATCTCAGCAGAGCATTTGATTGCGTAAATCATACCATACTATTGTCTAAATTCGAATCATACGGAATTCGTGTAAATGTACTCATGTGGTTTTCTTCGTATCTTACCAGTAGGTATCAATACGTGGAAATCTCGAAATGTATTAATATGGGAAATCATAAATTCGTTTCATCGAAAAAGCCAGTGGTTCGTGGAGTACCTCAAGGGTCAGTCCTGGGGCCAGTGTTATTCAGTCTTTTTATCAATGACCTTCCTTTATTGGCCGATAATACAGGCTGCACTCTAGTTTTATATGCTGATGACACTTCTATCCTAATGCCCAATGATAACATGCAGAACACCATCTTTTTAGAAAACATATCAAAATGGTTTGCTTTCAATGGTCTTTTATTAAATGATAAAACTAAATGTATTTATTTTCACACAGCTCAAAAAAAAGTTGCCAAGACAGCTCTTAACATAGGTACCCAGCACTTAGAACCTGTAAATAACGCAAAAATTTTAGGAATATGTATTGAAGAAGTTTTGAATTGGAATATGCATTGTACACAAGTTATCAAAAAAATTAATATAGCATGTTATCAAATACGAACGTTAAAATACATTGTCGACTTACACGTCTTACTAAATTTTTATTATGCGCATGTACATTCGCGCCTTAGTTATGGCATTTCACTATGGGGTTCTTCGCCTGCGGCTAATGAAGTTTTCAAAGCCCAAAAACGTATTATTCGTAATATAGTGTCTATTGGTTCTGCGTGTTCTTGTAAACCGCATTTTAAAAAATTAAAAATACTAACATTACCCTCAGTTTATATTCTAACTCTTTTGGTTTACACATTCCAAAACCGTAATAAATTTATCTTAAATAAAAACATCCATGAACACAATACTAGAAATACTCGAATTTATTTAGCTAAACCTAATTTGGAATTATATAGACGCTCTCCCAACTATCTTGGGCCTAAACTTTTTAATGCTTTGCCGGATGATGTTAAATCTATCAATAATGTTAAGAAGTTTTGTAGGACTGTAAAAACTTTATTACTCGAAAAAGCATGTTACAGCGTAGATGATTTTCTGTTGTAAATGTTATTGTAATTGCCATAATCATGTTAATATACATGTATGAATGTAGTTAGTTTATATACTTGTTTATTGTTTGTTAATTCTGACGTGTCATATACAAAAATGTATTTTTTGTCTTTTGGCTAAAATAAACTTATACTTATACTTATACTTATCTGAGGACATACGGATATTCAGTTGAAACGTTGAAATTTAATCTAGAAATTAGCATATATTTTTCCAAATTTTTATTTTTTAAATGTTTTGATGTTTTAGATGTTTATTTATGTATATTTATCCATGGAAAAATATTATCTATTTAGTTTCAATAATGATCAATGACGATTAGCTAGTGTTACGTGTGCAGTTAGGAACGATGATTAACCTATGTTCAATAGGGTAAAAAGTAATTTACAAGGCAGCCTTGGGCAAAACAGGGAATACAATAAAACCCTGGGATTTACCTAGGTAAAGCAGAAAGTTATGATTATGCGTTCATTATATTCTTTTTTCATAACAAAATTTACTTTTACCCAAGCCGGATTGGGTAGTCTGCAGATTACCCAGATAAAGCTAGAAACTTTTATTTAATTTCAGCTTTACCCAGAACTTTTGGATTACGTGAACTTCACCTGGGTAAAACCAGATTGGTCCAATATCCGGCTCTACTCGCAACATATCTGCTATTTGAAAGAAGCATCCTAATCCGATACTTTTTTAATTGTCTAGAAAATATAAACAGAATTACAAATTATTTTCTTTGATTACAAAAATATTCAGTTTTATTTTAATTAATTGATTTTTAGAAAATATGTCCCTACTGATGTTAATTCCTCGAGAAAACGAGACGGTTGTTTTTAGTCATCATTTAACAGCATGCTGTGTATTAATATACCATATTTTTATGATAATGAAAAAACTGAAGTAATGAAACACTGTCTTTTTTAGAGAGTTACGGCATCTGTACCGACATGCAAGTGAAGTATCCTTCCCGCCAAAACTAACCTACTACATTATCAACATCCCGCGCTTTCCTCTACCACCGTTCCTCTGCATCAGAGGGCGCCACACTTTTCACATCTACAGCTTTATTTATTCGCAAACAAAATAAATTTCTTGTTTACTCATTACTTGGTTCCGTTAGCTCAGTTTCTAAGCCGCACACAGAACAAATACTTTCAATAATAACAATTTATTGTTTATCAAATTGAGCAATCGAGTTATTTATGTTTGTGATCTTTTATTATGGTAATAACAGCTTTAGTGTCTCTCTATTGGCTTAATTATTACAACTGCAGATGATAAAATGATTAATTGCAGAATATTGTTATATCACGAAACGAAATAGCTCTTTAATTATTATTAATGCTTTTTACGTAACTTAATTAATTGATGATTAAATAAATTACGTGGCTACAAATTTTTATTGCATTCGCTGACGATAATTACCCAATGTCTTCAATGGGAATGTGTTGCGTAATTCGGATGTATCGACGAATAGTAAATTTTGTCTGTCGAAGATGACACTTACAGACCGTCCCAAGGAACAATGATTGTCTGTCGTCGCTAAATTAACCTTGAAAACTTGGTTTTAGTAATTTTTCTGACGCTCAAAACACAAAGGTTATTTACGATTATTTACGCAACACCTGTTTGAATCAAATTGTCAGATTGATTTTTCGTACTTTACGCTCTCCGCTAGGAAGTCTTAACAGTAAGTTGGTGTAGTTGTAAGTATTGCTACCCAAATTATATCATCAAAAATTACTAAACAGGTTGCAAAGTTTTATGTATATGATCAATAATATAACATCATCTGGAAGGATTTGCCAAACTTGAGTCTTGTTGACAGAGAATTTTGTTAAATTAAATTAAAACACAACTTACTTGGAGAATCCACTAGAAGATCCGCCGTAGAACTATCTGTACAATTTGGCGAAAGCGACGACGGCGACCTCTTCAAATTCTGACTAGGAACAGGTCCTGCCGACGTCGTGATGGTAAGCTCGCCGTTGCTAGTAGACAGCCTGTTCATGGGACTAACATTGGGCGGCGACGAGTTTCTGGACAATGGCTGCTGGTGGTGCAATTTCGGGTCGGTGTAGTTGCTGGTTATCATGGGGTTCCTGTGAGGAGGGGTGGACTGGGACGTGGGAGTTGTCAGCAACGTGGGTGCTGTCGAAAGAAGGGGTTGCGTTAAGGGGTTGAGTAAGGGGGTGGGATTCGTCGTGTGGGGGTTGCTCAGCATCTGGGGCATCGTTTGGAGCAGTTGCTGAGGAGACCCGTTGGACAGAAGGTGACCAAGAGAGCCTGGGTTGAGGAGGTTGGAGCCGAGACTGCCGTTTGTCGTCGGCACTAAAAAAATGAAAATCAAAGTCAGTGATGGGAGCAATGTAGTGTTTTTGGCAGGTTACCAGTGGTTGTGGTGTTGTTGAGAAGGTTCGTCTGAGCCATCGCCTGAAGATTCGCTAAAGACGTCGTAACCACTTGTCCATTATTTAAGGCTAAGTTAACCATTTGATCGGAACTATTTACATGATTTACTGGAATTGTCAAGATTGTCTGAGTTGCTAGACCTGTAAAAGAAGCTTTAGTTACAATAAGTTGGAAGTGGAAAAACAAAATATTTGTAAAACTATACGATTTTTAATCTCATTAAAGTTTGTGTCGAAACTGGAATATAACGTAAAATCCTATAGTTTATTTTATTTTTCGTCAACTTTTTACTTTTAGACGCTACTGCTTTACTGCTTTGCTTAATCAATTCCGAGCACCCGGCAAGTGGTAGTAACCGTCGAACTCTTATTCTAATCTCATCAAATGTCACCTTGTGACGTGGGTATGAGCAGTTGAGCTCCTTGAATTCCTTGAACGAGTTGTCCAGAGGCCAGGATAAACTGAGGCATCGGTGCCGGTTGTTGCGAAGACAAAAGGGGATTTGGTGGGGGCGGCAGCGCTGCCCCCGTAGTCTGCGAAGGGTTTAAAGTGGCTTCTGTGCTTCCTGACTGACTTGTCCTGGGGGTGGCCACTGCGAAATTATTATTAATCGATTAGCGATAAATTCGAGCCGTATCACGTAACCTCTACCACAATGGGACTACGTATATGAATAACGCTAATTAATAGGAGTCTCATTTTCCATTGTTATTACGTAATTAAATTCTTGGATGGACGGTGGAGGGAATGTTAGATTTGCATAACAATAATAAAGGATGCAGAATTAGTACCTGAAGCACTGACGCTGAGGTTAAGTGGTGCGTTCACTACGGGGCTGCCCGTCAGTCCGGCCATGTTTTGCAAACCGGCCGCCAGCGAGGCCACTTGGGGAAGACTCTGTTGTAAGGATGCCAAGTTCTGGAGGTTCTGCAGCGTTACTAAACCAGCCACTGGAAAACCACCCACGATTAGCACAAAAAACGAAACAAAAATTTAAAATCTTACTTCCGTTGAGATGGGCCGCTGCTGACACGTTGGGCGACATTTTGGACTCGGCACCCATGCCCTCCTCCAGCCGCCCATGGATCCCCTTGCCCAGCGTCAGGTCCGTGCTGCCTTCCACCCCCGACGCCGGCTCTGGCGACCCGACGCTGCTCTCGCAGTCGCTCTCCTGCTGGAAAAAAACCGCAGCAAAGGGTTAGCTTCGAATTTTTCGCGGCCGTAATGAAAGGGCGAAGTTCGGCGGTCCTTTCCGAACTCGAACCGCCGTAATATATTCGTCCGAGTATAATCTATTCTAGTATAATGATAATCAAGCAAGCAGGGAATAGTCGCCGTCCCCGGCATAATAAGGGCAGAGGGAGGGCGGGGGCGACGGAGGGATCGGACAGCGGCCGGCGAGGCGAGAGCTCTTTGTGTAGTTAGTGTAATTAGTGCCCCTCTTGCCGCACCCCCCTCACGCCGAGTACCTTATTTAAATGCAAATGAGCTTCATTTCGCAATATTAATGTGCCCCATCCCTGGCCTGCCTCGCGTCTGCCGCCCTCGCTCCGAAGGGTTGAGAGCACATTCGGACAGGGCAGCGCGTGCACGGCTTCAATCATACAGAGAGGGTTGCAAAGTCCGATTCCTAGCGAGGTGGGAGGAGGGGGGAGTTTAATATAGAGAGAAGTGCGAAATAGACGCATAGTAAGAGGAGGGGTGGCGGTTTTTTGATGGTGCGACGTCTTTTGCGTGTCTTGAAGACTTGTTATTTCGCTATCGAACCGAACGACGGGAAACGTATGCGACAATTAGAGACCCAATTGCATCATAAATCATAAACAAGATATTTTAGCACACGCTCAAGTATACAGACAAGAGATTGATAAAATTGATTGATTGACAAGAGGATTAATCCAAAGACTTGAGAACGGAATGGATTATAATAGAAAAATTGCGATTTTACGCGTAGCGAAAGAAAGAGTAGAGCGATGATCGCAAGCAATACAACCTAAATTTTTGAAGTTTTCGAAGTAGTAATTATTCGCAGCAGTCTTAATAAGACAAGTTCACTATTAAAATTTCGTTAAACAGTTTTTCCCGCCAAATCAATACTACGTAACTGGGAATTCGAATTAGGGCCCAACAATACCACCGAAATTTGCAGTATTGCTAATGGAATCAGTGGCAACTGTGCATACGTTGCATAAGTTGATTAATAAATGAAAATTTTGTTCAGTTAAAGTAGTGTGGATAATTGATGCCAGTACTACTTTTCAGAAGATCAATACTTTATTCTTCGTTATCATAATTTAAGACAAGATTTTGCTATATCTGAGAGTAAGCGACTCGTGTTATTGATATGTATTTTGAATTACGGCTGACATGGTATTGTTGTCTATTTTAGTCGTAAATGAGTTCACGATTTAAAAGAATTTTCAAAATGTGTAATAAAACAAGAAAATGATGTATCTGATACTGAAGAAGAAGATAGAAGAGATTTTATAGTTGTTAGTACTATCAGTATACCTCGAGATATAGTCAGTAAATTATAGTTTTTTGGATATTTGGATCCTTTTCATTTAGATAATAAAGTTGAGCAAGCTGGGAATAATATTACACATAGTAGCAATAATATAATTACAATAAATACATTTATTTTCCAACAGGATACAACACCCAATTAAAGAAAAATTAACAAAATTATAAAAGGAAAAAACTAAAATTCGAATAAACAGCCATATAAATACTTGAAGCATGTGCTCATAATAGTTATCTACCAAATATTATTATATAATTGAGAAAATAGATAAGAACAAATGGCCCGAGAATACCTATATTTGTTTCTAAAATTTGAGCAGCTATTTCTGTTTTGTGCCTGACTTCTATTACATTCAAGTGATTACATATTAGGTTCCTAGAGGATCACCTTATATATCTGGGTCCTGTTTGCTGGGCAATAACAAATTGAACTGTTCCTCGAGTTTAGTCTAGGTTTCTAGGTCCTAGAAATTGAACCTTATTTAGCAAAAAGTCGCAGACTATTTATAGAATGTTACATAAGAATTTTCGTGCAAAAGGGGAGCCTCTAGTGCTTAGTAAGCCATAATTAAATCGAAAAAGTAATAACTTGTGTTCAGAACCTCTCAGGGGATATATGCCATCGCATGCAAACGATAAAAACGTTAGGAATTTTGTCTGAATCGCTTCGACTTTTGACACATGGATTTCATAAATTGGAAACCAAATAAGGGATGCGTAGTCTAATTTGGACCTTACTAATGAGTAATACACAGTTCATAATGCGTTAACACTCCTGAACTCTTGACAATTTCTCTAGATGAGGCCAAAAGTTTTAAAAGCTCTTGTTATGGGGTCTATGAAGTAGAGTTTACAAACAAAGGTCACACCTAGGTCACGATATGACTCCATTGTAGATAGATCATCTCCTCCTATATCATAGCAATGCCCAACATTTGCTGGCTTTCAAGAGTATAGCACTTTTGCTTATTTAAGCTTAAACGATTGGCTTCGCTCCATTCAGCCAGATAATTCAAATCACTTTGAAGACTATCGGAATCCTCGATGCAAGTTATTTCTAAAAAATAACTGTAAATCATCTGCAAATAGTAGCTTTTCGCAGGACAAAACATTTACGACATCATTGACAAATAAGAGGAACAAAAGAGGCCCTAGGTGGACTTTTGGGGTACTCCAGCCGTAGGTGAAAATGAATCTGATTTCAAATTATGATATACTTTGACCAGAACTGTTGAGCGAGGTCTGCCTCAGGCGTCTATTGACTTCCACTTATTTTTATCAGGAGTTAAAAAATTAGTGGAAGTCAATAGACGCCTGAGGCAGACTCCGCACAAGAGTTCTGGTCAAAGTATACACACCCGATATTTCTCTGTCAAGTTTAGTTCTACGCAAATGACACTATTTATAAAAATTCTAAATTATCTTGAACTGTCTTGATTTTTAATAGTATTTTGTAAAATGTCATTTTTTGATTTTTATACAATTATACTTTAAGGAATGTATAAATTTATCAATTGTAGGCTGACGAATATGGATTAAAGTTAGGCAGAATTTCATTATGGAAGGAAGATGAGAGAAGAAAATTAAAAAATTAAAAGTTAATTGAAAAACGTCCCGTTTTTCTGTAAGTTTGTGTTGTATCTAGTGATGACGGTAGCTTTCCCCATTAGTTTTTTTTTCAATCCATAATTGGCATCTAAATAAGGTAAACCGTTATAAGTGTCAAAACGATTTATCTCGTACAACAATAATTATAATTCATTAAAACCGAACGTTGTGCAAGGGTTTCGACAGTGTGTAATTCCGTGTTGTGTGATGTGTTTATTATAATAATTGAAAGGAAAATCGTGCCACGTGATTCAATCGACATCCGATTGAAACAGCTTGCAATGAAATGCATTAATTTTAAGTTAAAACATAATGCACATTGGTCAATTAATTTATTAGAGTGTCAATGAGCCATTTTATCAAACAATGTATAGAATCTACTGTAAAATCACTCGCGCCGTGATGCAAATAACGCATTCCACGTGTTCACGCTTGTTTACCTTATAGTTCGGGATTTCGGGATTTTGATATACCTAATTTACATATTTTACACTACATGGCTTTGTATTAAATGACAAAAGTGGACAGAAAATGTACAATTTTCAATTTCAAAGAGCTCCAACACAACGGACCTGCACGCCAAATTAGCTGACATTCAGACCAAAATAACAAAATGCACGACCGAAAAATTAAACCCACACCACTCACGGTGTTTCTTCTTCCTTAAATACCAACACGTGCCCCTTAAATGCTGTTTTTTACTGTTAAATAACGTGAATCTCGATTCACGGTGAGTCTGAATCTTAGAGATTTTTCAATATGTTTGTTTAATTTCCAATCTTAAAAAAATTTTTGAAGTATGTACACTGCATGATTGTGTCAAGCATTCTTGCCGTTGCTCAAGACAAAGTAACTATACTTTTTTTCGTTTTTTCGTAAATAAAATTATACTACTCTATTTAAAGAAATAAAACTTCAGTGTGTATTTTTTAAATGGAACACCATGGTTATTTGAAAATAATAATTGTAAATTGTAGTCCTAAGTGTATAAAACACCTGGTATTTAAGTATATTTATTTTAAATGTACTCTCAAAAAGATCAATTGGTTCTTCTTTCCCCTAATGAGAGTTTTGCTGGCAACCATTGCTTGTCTAGAGAAAGAACTAAAGTACTACATACCACTGTGTAGAAGCCCTACAAACATATAGAGTACTACGACTCTGTTCGATGTTTGGCGACCGTCAAGCTTCGACTGGGGGTCAGTAATATGTCGTTTTACAAATTAAGACACAAATTCTGTCTAGATTCCTAACATTTCTTACAAGGTTACAAGATGGTCACAAATCTTTCAAAATTTTATCCCAGCATATGTATTGGGTATGATGGGGGCTTGCGCGGGGACAAACGAAATAAATTTTATTCCAACTGATTCAATTAATTAAAATGTAAAAATAAAACAAACAGTTTGTACCGTATAATCATCTGTATTATTGTGCAGATAAATATTAGCATTATTACGCGATAAAATTAATATAAACATGTCGTGGTCGCACTTTACTGGGGTCCCTGAGGGATTAAATTTATTTTTGACCGCTGTGCAATTAATAATTGCACTCTGGCCTTATCAGATAAAGAGCAAATTTCAGTTTTGGCAAAAAATTAAGATTGTTCGACCAGCGTAAAATAGCGGGTGGGAAATCAAATTCTGGCAGCCAGCAATTCTGGTCTAGGATTTAGCCATAACGCTAGAGCCCGCTATGGGTGTACCGACCAGCTTCCATTTATTATTAACGTTATTGCTGGAGGTTACCATTTATTTGTAAGAGGCAAGTTTGTGGGACTTACTCGAGGGGTTGGTGGAACGGTTTCCCTTTTCAAACAGCTCACTCCTGTATTATGTAGAATATATTTTGCTGGCCCTCTCGCCGTGTATTAGCATTATTTACGCGTCTGTTGATCTAGAGATTATGCATACACGCTGACGGATAAAGATGATTGAGAATCACGTGATTGCAAATTGTACTCGGCTACAAATGACGTCTAATTCTGTTCCAATTTAGAGCAGCGGACAGTTTAATCAATAGACGACTTATGTGGAGTGT